TATATATTTATTATTTATTTCTATATTTTATGTTCCACTCACCGAGTTATTGTGATACACCTTATGCATGAGCTTAGTAGGCTGATTGGTTGCTCTGTCGTAACCGAAGCGTTTGATAGTGATAATGAGGTTGCGCGGTCCTTGTGTGATCTTCATGTGATGCTCACCTTTGCAATAAGTGGCACACGTGGGGCATGCGTATTTATTATCCCCATCGAGAATTTCGGGCAAGCTGTTATGCTCGATCAGATTCTGCACAGTAAAGCTTATCTTAGGATTGCCAGTGCACTCAGGAAAGGCGAGCTGCAGCTCGCGGAACTTATTGGGAATGCGACTCTCGTGGGAGCAAACAAGGCACTTGTAAATATTTGTCAGCTGTCCCGAAAATGATTTATCAGCAATGGTTAGATTCAGTTGATCATCACATGCAGGCACACATCCCTTGGCTTTCTCGGCATCGCTCAACGAGTTGAGCAAGTATCCCAAGTACTCCGAGCTGTCCTGCTGCTCGCCGGCTACGAACATCGCACTGTTGCTGGCAGAGAGCACCGATGGTGGCACAAGCACGTGGTGACGCGAATAATGCATCAGAGCAATCAGGCGTTGCAAGTGCACAACAATTTTCGACTTGCACTCGGAGAGCATTAGGTTACGACAAAAACTGCAAGTCAGGACAGAGTCTGGGTAAGAGCGATAGAGCGACGGTGTGAAGTGCGGCACTTACTCAGGTGTCATCGACAACGCTTGCAGCACGCTATTCATAAAACACGTATTTCCCAAGTTGACTAGCCCGGGACGAGGATTAACATAGGCTTCACAGTTTTCGACGCCGGAAGCGGTATTTCCAAACTCCAAATTAGACATGTTTGAATTGATGCTAAGAGAATACATATTAGACTTAGCACTTCAATCAAATACGCAATACTTACCAAAAAAAAAGCAGTTCTCTTGTCTTAATATGAATTAATATGAAAGGTCCAATAACCACAATGTAATATCGTTTAATAACGCTGCAAAAGTCGTATATTATTATTAATTTTATTCGTTTTCCAAAAATTGTTACCTTTTACTTATATATATCTTATGTCTTGACACAAAGATGCAAAGATACTTGAAAGTGACAAGATGAATTGAGGTGAGCTTGAGGTTAAACTCCGTTGACGTTATTCGCACAGGAACTGAGATCGAATTCAAACTGATAAAAGAGAAAAGCATAGATGATTATAGAAAGTTACATTAGGTTTGAGTAGAGTGTGCATATTATTTATATCATTTTGGAATACTATAAAATATTTTCGATATCAATTTCAATTTATTTCACTCTTTGTTATAGCTACAGATCTTTGTGAATGGCTAAAAAATAGGCCGTTCTTTTTAGATATTTATTTACATACATATGACATATGGCATATGCGATAACATAACTATTTGGGGGAATAATATAATATATGTTTTCAATAAAACTCTTATGGATAAGTAGTTATTCGTGATGTCTTACACATTTCGTAAATATA